CCCTCCATTACGCTCCTGCCAGTTAGTGAGAGGTGATATGAGCTGCTGATATGCTTTGGTTCCTTGATGAGTCATTTTGTTTTGTGCAACTTTGCAAACCTTATCCATGTTCTTCCTAGAGGGAAGTCACTTTCTCCTTGTAGTCCTTCCATACAAGCCATACTTGTTCATTCTTTTTCTAATTTAATTATCATGAAATTTGGGCCTTTAACATGCTAACACTCCCATAGAGTGAGATGCAGCTCTTGGATTTTTTGCAGTTTCCCTGATCATTGCATATTCTGACCTTGCTGTGAATTTAGCTTGGATGCTCACCTGGCAACTGTCTTTCCATTTGATAATGAATAATCTTCCTCACTGTAGAAGGATGGACTTCAGATTGTTTGGGAATTTCCTCATAAACCTCCACAAATTTATTTGATGCTTCGCTAAGATAATTACTGATGTCTTTCCTCCTTGTATTCCTCCTGTATTTTCTGAAAAATTTAGACATGCGTGCAGGAGTTATGCTGTATTATGATTTAATAACATTAACATTTATATGGTACTTGTAATAATTATTTAGAATGTATTTTTATTGTTTAAAAGAGCAAACAGATGTTGTGTTTTTTTTCCTCCAGGCCAGCGAGATGCCAAAACTAACTGAACAGCTCGCTGCACCGCTGAGACAGATGCAGGTGAGACGGCATCAGAGTGGAGCTGTATCTTGTTAAATGCGTGTACTTTAGTAGAAATGAAAGCATCACTGTTTCTGTTGTGTTCAGGAATGTGCAAAGCGCATCGCCAAAGTGTCAGCAGACGCCAAGCTGGAGGTGGACGAAGAGAGCTATCTGAACCAATTTAAACCCCACCTAATGGACGTGGTTTATGCCTGGGCCAACGGGGCCACGTTTGCTCAAATCTGCAAAATGACCGACGTCTTTGAAGGTTTGTTACTTCTCTTACAATCTGCAGGTGTTTAATTATTAAGATCACTTGAATTGGTTCCTTTCTCCAGTATCAGGGAATATTTTCTATTTGAGGCAGATTTTGTGGGTCAGATGAGTTATTTGATACAAAATGAACACATTTACTCTCAAAAATATATATATAGATAGATATAAAGATATGTATCATCAAAGATTTCTAACACATGTATCTACACACTGGATTTCTGTTTAGGGAGCATCATCCGTTGCATGCGTCGTCTGGAGGAGGTCCTGAGACAAATGTGTTCTGCATCTAAAGCCATCGGCAACACAGAGCTGGAGAATAAGTTTGCTGAAGGTAGGAAACACATTGCACCAATTTTTCATTTGAATGAATATTAGCTCCCTTTTTAATTGTAGTCTAACATGATAAATCCTTAAAAAGTTGGACATTTTTCACTGTTTTTTGTTGGTTTTTGTTAGATTTATTTTTGTATTGTTAAAACTACATTGACAGTACACCTGTGCATCATAAACTTTATTTAGTGCATGCATTTAGTGCATGCATTTAACAAACCATTTACGTTTTATGAAGAAGCAAAAACTAGATTCTGTAATTGTTCATGTAAAAGTTGTGACAGAGTTTGAATTGTGTTTCTCTCCCTGCAGGAATAACAAAGATCAAGAGAGACATCGTCTTTGCTGCCAGTCTCTACTTATAGTGTCTTTTAGTGAACCCTGCTCTTTTGTGGTTGTTTGTTTAAAGAGTCACACAGGTAGGAACTCTGTGACGTTCATTCCTGAACTCGGTTGGGTTTCAGGGATTTTCCTTTGCTCACAATGGACTTAAAGATGGTGACTTAACAGTGAGCTGGTCCAAATAGCTTAAAGGCAATGTGTCTGTCACTCTTTCACTATAGAAGCCATGTGCTTTGTTATTCACCCTTTTTAAAAAAAATGTGTAATGCCTTAGTGAACTTAAATTGGTTATTATTCCATTGGCTCCAGCTGAAAGCTCTTTGGGAATGCTAACCGTGCAATCACAGCAACTTAAACACTTTCATCCTGCTGAGGTTTCCCAATCGTTGTCCTCACTGTGCGCATCATATATGGTCTGTTTTCACAGTTCATTGAATATGCATGTTTTGTTTTTGCTTAAATGGCAAAAACGTGCATAATTAGACTGATAATTATTTTGTGCTTTGATCTGAGGAGAGCTCATGACATAATACATCAAATACGTTACACCTGTGTCGATGTTAATAACCCACTTTATTTTTCCGTATTTTTACATGTGTGTACATATTTGACAATTTTCAATAAACGTCTGTATTTGTTTACATACAGATTATATATAAAAAGCAATCTGTTGTCCATTCACTTGATGCTGATATTAAACAGAAGGTTGTAATAGCAGCAGCTGTCCAGCCAAGCAACACAGGACCTGAACTGACAGCCTTCTCTGCAGTGCTCTCACCAAACATGGTAGAAACTTCTTCACTTGAATGTTTTTATATGTATTCAACCTCATCTGGTAGTTTATTGGTTTGAACAGCAGGTAGCGGTGCCACATAAATCAGCCTGTAGAAGTCGGGAGGTCCCCGCAGACCAACGAGTTTATCTGCAATGACACAGCAGAGCAAAATTAGCGCGTGAGCACTGAGCCAGCAATTTAACTCAACCCCACCATCGGGCTCTTAAATTTGGGGGGGGGTGCTCTGCCTCTAATGTTTTTAATAAAGTTTATATGCTGGAATTGGATCACATGTTTCATTATATTGTCAACTTCATCTTGAAGTTCATTGGTTTGAACAGCAGGTGGCGGTGTTTCTTGATATTCAGATACGCCCCAGCTCACGTGCTCAAAACCCGCTTCCAAATCCATTACCACACAAACGACGTGAAGCTGCAAAATAATAAGCAACTGAAGCTTTAACATTGATAAACATCAGTATGCTGTGCTTTGCGTGTCAAAGTAAACATTTAGCACACGGGATGTTCTGGCTGCTACGTCAACGCAAATGTATCCAGGTCTATATTTATATGATGCATGTTGGAGAGTGAACTATGGAGATCATTTACCTAAACGTGTCTTTTACACAGTCACTTACTGAGTTGATTGAAAAGCAAACTGAGACCTGCTGATCTCAGAGTTTATAGGAAATGGGTGCAGCAATTTATTGAAACATACAAATGGAAATATAATGCAAAATAGTGTTTGCACAATTTTTATGAACGTGAAAGTCAATATTTGGTATGATCATCTTTATCCTTCAACCCATCCTGAACTCTCTTAGGTAAGTTTCCCTGTAATTTCTTTAAGTAGTTTTCAGGAATATTTTTCGCGGCTTCTTGGAGGACATTCAAAGCCCTTCTTTGGATTTTGGCTGCCTTTTGTTCTCATGCTAATGTTGAGTTCTGGGATCTAATGAGGCCAGTCCACGCCTGATAGTGTTCCACTCTATGATTTTCTGTTCAGGCATGCTGTGCTTTCAATGTACTGATAGTATGTTTGGGATCATTGTCATCCTGTGGAAGTTGTTTCCAGTCTGATGCTCTCCTGATAGTATTGCATGATGAATCAAAATCTAACCAAACTGGCAGAACGTCCACTGTGTTTTACAGACTGCAGTAAGCACTCATGTTGTACCTCTCTCCCGACCTTCTCTGGATTGACCAGAATTTTCAAATTTGAAGTCATCACTCCATAAAACTTGCTGCTTCTGGTTTTCAGTTGAGTTCCTGTGTAATACATTTATGTGTAAACACAACACTGGTTCCTCCCTTGATGTTTGTGTCTGTCTTTTGCTTGAATTATTCATAGGTCAATGTTAAGAGCCTTAACATACAAAAAAAACCCATTTCTTTGAAAATGGTCAGCTTCAAGGACTAAACTGAAAATGAGTGAAAAAGCAGCGTCTTTCAGCTTAAAATGGTAATAGTCTTTTTTTGAGAGCTTTAGTTTTTGGTTGTTCGGGTTAAATCACCCAGCTTTTTATAAAAACTAGTGAAAACTTTGCTTCAGTTGTTTCTTTTTACACGTGAACATCTATCCACGCATTTTCTGCGAGCTCTTCCTCTAAAAACTGCTCATATCATCTCTGCTTAGTTACTAGTAGTTGCCTCATGACATACTGTTAATAATCAATATTAACGTTAACTGAATGGTTCATTTATTTCTTGGTTTACCTGCATTATTATCAGCTGTTAAATGGGTAAGGTTCCTCTGTTAATACTCACAAAGGCTAAAAAAAAATGTCACTTTAGTTTTTAAAACTGTTTAAAAACAGTAATAATTCAACTTTATGGGGGTGTTGGTGGTCTCATATATTGTTGTGTTACACCCAGCCAGGTGTACGTTTGTTGTTGTTGTTTTAACTTTCCTCAGCGTGGATAATTTTAGATTGGTAAACTGGCAATTGAGTGCACGTCTGAGCCTAGCTATTATAATAGCAGCTGAATCTTTGCCCTTTAGATTCTACAGAATGGGTCTCGCTGGATTGATGCCTCAGGCACGATTTCATCTTCTTAGACATTAAGAATTGTGATGTGATCAGCAGCTGGTGCCTGTAGTTGTTTCACAGACAACTACAGGCTTAATCATAACTAACGATACTGAATTCATTCTGGGTCATAATTACTGCCCAAAGTAATAATTACTGGTGATTCATTTAATAGGAGCTTATCTTAGTTCTTGTTATTGATTATGTACTTTTATTTGAGCAATAGCTCAAATGAAACTGTCAGGTATAAAGCTATAAAGGTCAAATGATCAGTCAGTGAGCTCATTGTTGATTAAATCTGGAGATGACAAACAGATTGTCCTTACCCACTGAAACATCATAAATCATGTGTTTTAGTGACTGGGAGGAGGTTGGGGAAGGAGATGAAATCAGGCAAATAAATCAACATTGCTAAATTGTTGGCAGGGAATGTAATTTAATCCTCCTCACCCAGCGATTACCATCAGTGTGGCTTATTGTGCCTTCACCGTTGGTGCTGCTGTTTGGTCCAGTGGATAAGTGGAGGAGTTGCTTCATAAGAATAAATCCTCACATGATTGGAGACAGTCCAGCAGCAGACTGAGCTTGGCTCACATCCACCTGCTCCAAGTCAAACATGCTCATCAAATCTTAAGTGGGAGATCTTTCCCTTCCCCATTTCAGTTTGTTTTTTTTGCCCGGTGACATTATTATAAATGAGAAGGTTTGTTTTCACACTGAGCTCTTCCAGCACTGAAATCCCGTGCAGATTGCCAATAATTTATCAGTATTGCACAAAACAAATGGAGACATTGTGCCAAAGACAGTTCCTCATTTTCACAAGTTTCTCGTGTTCTGAGAGTTCTCTCGGTAAAGCTGATTTTCCCTGAAAAATGGCAAGATAATGATCGAGCATCGGCAGTAAGGAGAAAAAGTTACAGGTTAACATATCAAATATGTTTTACAGCTGTAGAAAAAAGAAAACTATGTAGATCAAATAACATATGAGGTAAATGTAAATGTGCAGTTTTTTAAATATATCATTAAAGTTTTCTGTCGCTGTCTGTCATTTACAAACTCACAGGGGCCGGTTCTGACTAGCACACAGATGAAAACTATATTGTCTAACCAGTGTGTGTGTATACACAGGTTCCTCTGTTTGTGTGTGTAGGTGGGTTGTGATGAGGACACGGAGCCACGTGGCTCTTCTGGGTTTTCTCTTTTCCACCCAGACCCCTCCTTCCCCTTCTTCTGTCTTTTTTTTTTTTTGCTTTTAATTTCTCTCTCTCTCTCTCTTTTCCCCCCCCCCCCCCCCCTTTAAAAAATAAAATAAAATAAAAATCTTGTAGGGTTCCCCCCTCTCCCACCCTGCTGTGACTTGTGACTGCGCATTTTCTGGGCAGCTTTTGTGGAGTGACAGGGCCACGTTGGAGTCAACGAAACAGCACAATTGCAGCAAAAAACAGACAAGGCGATACTGATCTAGCTCGGGAGGCTGACCCGCAGCGTTAAGGCCATTGTTTTTGGCCACAGAGCAGTATGGCAGATGTTTTTGCTGCTGTTGGCAGAGCCTGAGGTTGATGAAGTTTGCACAGCCAAGTGCTTCATCATGGACTGGTTACATAGCTGTGAATTTTGTTTGGATCTTTGTGGTCTGCAGGGGATGGTTCCTAATGATTCTGCTGACCTCGCTTTTTGTTCACCCTTGGGCATTCCTCTGATTTACGGACATGATATGTAGCATCGCACTGAAAGATCAGTCGAGATAGAAACAACCGAGGCTTAGATGTACACAGTATTAATCCCTGGTGTGGGGCAAACTCCAAGAACATCGAATCTTACATTTTATCCATGATGCATCTCAACCTTTACTAACTTCAAGGCCTTTTTAAGTCCATGACAAAGCTTATATTTCTTCTCCATCTTGGTTGTGGTATGCTTTCGTGCAGTAAGGAGTAACAAAAGCTGCTCCTCTTTTACTCATTACCTGAATTAAAACGAGAGTTTAACACATCAGTGGAGCCAATGGGAGGGCAGCTAACAAATCTAACCTGTCAACAAGGCACATGACTAATTGGATGGAAATCTGCTTCCATTAAAAAGCGTTTTACTCCTGATGGCTCGATGTGTGAGTTTGGCAGTCAGCACTGCTCTGTTTTTGTCTTCTAATTGTGTGAGCATTCATCACGGTGTGGAGTGGTCAAGGTTCAAATGAGCTGAACTTTGCCAATGCCGTGCCTTTGAGCTCATCAGGCGCCTGTTGTTGTTTATCTACACATTCTTCCGATGGAAAAAATGTGTAGGTAAAAGCAGTGGCACCATTGTTAGATTGTGAGTGAAAGTCCTCTTAACAGATCTACACAACCCTGCTCTGTTTGATCAATGAAGTTTTTTTGTTTTTGTTTTTCTGCTGAAGCAAAGGCCTTAACTTGAACTTTCCCCCCATGCTTTAGACTTTTTTATAAGTAAATTTGTTAATGGTTAAACAAGTAAAATAAGTCTCCCCGGCACTGACGCCTGACATTTTAAAAGTAAATACTGAGCTGTCAGACTTTGTGGTGCTCTAAGGTTATGATTAATACAGGCTCATAAGAAGGAACATTTCCCAGAATGGTTTCACGAATAAAGACCTGTGACTAAGTTTCCACATAGACTTAGATGGACACAGAGACAGCTCCGCGGCAACAGCAAATACTATAATGAGTTTAGCACAAAAACTCAAAAGAGTCATGAGAGCCTTGCTCAGTCCCTGAGTGCTTGATGTTTCCTTGGAGCCAGTTCCACAATAACCCCTCTCTGCGTTGTCCAGCATTAAACACACATATGCCAAGATTAATTCCGTTTGTAGCATTTTAAAATGACTCAAAGCTGTAAGAAACGAAC